TATATATAGTCAAATTAAGTGAGTATTAATAAGCAATTTCACAAATTATAGGGAAGTGATGCAAGATTACCTGAATAATCGTCAAAAGTATGATTGCATTGTGAGCATATTTCATGCAAAAGTTGCGCAAAAATCATATGGTAACGAGAAAAGGTAAGGAACATTATAACGGATGTTGATTTCATTCTGTAGCTATCGTTTGCTGTTTTGTTATTCTATAAATTGTTCACTAGACTAGTTTAATGTTGATTTAACCTCACCACAATACAATCTCATTAAATAATCTGTTAGCTTATCTTCGATTGAACAAACGATTGGTCCAAGTTTTTAGCTTGTTCCTTTGATCTTCGGAAAGTGATTTTTTTGTTTGGTAGTTTGGGGAACTTTTTAACGTTCATTCGATTAAAGAGTATCAAATACACTGCATGAATATTGATAATGCATTCAATTATGTTTGTTGATTCTCCTCAGGGCTGGCTATATTATATTGTAAGCAGAAGCACAACCTTATTCACTTCTGTTTGTTTGCTTATTTCTGACACATCATCGTTATCCTTGTATCATTGTATATCCACTCACTGCTTAAATTGATTCCTCTCAAATTCTTACGTATTCACCCAAGTATCCTGTATCTTATCCCGATAACCCTAAGCACATGAATGTTAGCAGTTAGACAGCCGTGCTAATGTATGGATATTATTATTTCTTTACCTAATAGGGACCAACTGCTCAAAACTATTCAGCTTACCCACAGGAATGAGTAGTCGTAAACTTTTCCACCAAAAGTCTTTCCGCATGGTAAAAAATTCGTAAATACCGGTTATCAGTGTTACAAATATTGATCAATAATGACCGCTAAAATACTCACAATAAAGGAATCGGATTGCTCTCGTTTCTCGCCTCGTCACGTCAATAATTGCATCACGCAATAATCTCTTCCTTGCACTCCTTCAACCAATTTTCCTCTTCAAGCCATTATAATATTTTATGTTCCTTTTCATTTTTCAACAACTTTCAACATCTCATCCCAGCACAGCGCTTTTCGCTTACTTAAGCTCATTTGAGCATCAGTTTGATGTTTGGTATACGGTAACGGCGATATTCAACATTCAAAACTGATGAAAAGAAACGAAGAGAGATTGATTGGTTGTTTGAATAAACTAAAGCAAATCCATATCCTAGCTAGCTAGCGCCGTCCAATTGCCACCGCTACGCAGTCATGAGCTCGATTCGTCTTTATCGATAGATAAAATATGGACCATAGCAATCTATCGAACACATCCACATATCCAGCATCGAAAATGTTTTTATTTGCACTTTCAATAAATCCTAAAAATTGCGGTAAACCGTTCAGTTAGTGATTCTGGATGATCAGATGAATATAAACGTTGACCTAAGTGAATACTAAACTATCAAATTTTTAGTATATTTTAGTTAATTGTTTCATGTTATAGATAAACTGTTACTTGTTAAATAGATGTGGGAATATGAACCTGTCAGTGAGTAACACATCGTCAGTTGTTGGTTGATCATTATTTATGCACACAACCGCTTTTATAGCGTAATCGCTTGAATATTGAATGTGGATACATTTTATTGCATGGAACAGCAAATGTAAGGATGCGATAAATAAGCTTAGGGGAAATAATTGTTGTTGACTGACTGATAGGTCTTGTACGACCGTCACACTTCCAACAACCTTGCGTTTTCTCAGTTTTCCAGTTAACGCTGAGGAGTTTAAGATTCCTTGATATCCCATGATTTGACCGTTTTTCTTACTCAGTAATAGGAAGCCAAACTATGGAAAGATTTTTCAGTGATGGAAAAACAAGTAAACTTTTCCTCAACGAGCCTCATCAAAAAATTTTTACTTCTTAAGTTTTATGCTCTCAACTCAGTCTATATGAGCTGATCAACGACATTTCTTTGATACTGTCAGGAAAATGTTATCCACACTTTTGTATAATGTTATTTTTTCCGAAATACCTCGAATTTTGTTGTGTTGCCTTTAATGTTGATGATGAATATTCACTTTGCAAATGAATATATTTACAGCGTAAATAATAGACTATTTATTCATATTGATGCGGTCGGTTCCTCTTTGAGGTTATCCACTGAGTTATTTTTGATATATGTAGCAGAAAAAAGAAACAAACAAACAAACGTAACCGTACAGAATGGAACTGACCAGTAACTGTGAAACATATGGACACTGATTGATAAATGAAACAAATAGTGGGAAAGCTCTTCCGAAGCTGTTGCTTCTTCTTCTTTTTTATCAAAGACCAGGTTTTGGCAATTTGAGTGAGAGATATTTCCGGTCTAAGCAATATTCATAATCGGTTTCATTCCATATTGATAACGGATAATCAATTCATGCCAAAGGTCAGCAAGAACTGCATTTTTAGATATATAAGATAGCTTCTCGATCCAAAAACTCTTCTGGAAGCAATTCTGCAACGTAATCCGCAGATGTGAAAATATTTTTGTGAATGTAGGAAAAGACGTCATTTAGATGTTTAACTCTCCGGAGTATTCTGATATTTGAGTTTTGCTAAACTAATGCATTTGCTCCCCTCTCACTATCAGAGGCAGTCCAAACCGTGCCGGTATTTGTTCGTATTATTGGTGGATGCAAAAGAACGGTAGTGTAATTTTTTGAATGATTACTTTTCAAAAAAGAAATTTGTGTATAAGGATGCATTTATACTCACATCATCAGAATGTCGGCATTTCTTCTGTGTGACTCTCAATATGATCGCATACCTCCTTTGATCTGCTTTGGTGAAGTATTATTATATTTATGTAAAAATTGTTCAACCATATTTCAAAATATTCACATTTCTTATTGCATTCGCAGCAAAAAAAGTGTTCGTAAAGCATATCATTCAAAACAGTTTTGATGTTACTTTATAGATTCAATACGTTGTGCATCTTCGTGTTCTGATTCAAACACCAACCAATATTTCATAATCAGTGCAATCAATCATTTTGTCCTATGCGAGTTTTCTGATGTGATGATGATGCAAATAACACCTTTCACGCAAATTTTCGCTACTAAAAACATTTTATGATATCACTCGAGCCAGTTGGTGAAGTAATGCATTTTAGTTTGTCATAAGCTGATTTGCATCAAATTTTATCGCAGATGATCGAAACTTTATCGTGTTCGTATCGTACGAAATTCAGTTGTTACGAAGGAAATTTTATATCTCGAATTGTTTTTACTGATGGGACGAGTTCAGATTGACGAAATATGATGTTGACATCATGGCAGCTGGAAGTTTCTTTTTCGATTTCTTGAACGTGTGAATTTAAGTCCTAAATTTGAAGTTGATTACCACAGTTACGAAGTTTGTCTTCTAAACGATCGTAATTCGTTGAGTTAATATCACGTTTATTGAAAGAGGGAGAATTCATCAACGAACCGTGGGTAATAATTTCATTAGTATTGTTACAAGTAATTCGATAATGATAATTATTATTTTCACATCACTAAACAATGTCTTTCTAGGTAATTGTTAGTGTTAAATATGTGATGTTGTATCAGAAATAAATAATGAGGTAAAGTAGAAGGGAATGTATTGTACTCGTTTGTGAATTGTTATCTGTGAGAAAATGTTATAGAAGAATGTGCCTCTTATGATAGACAAACATTTTGATTTGATTCTTTTCAAAGTTGTTAGTGAATGCGTTAATAATTGTGAAACTTGTCGCATTTAAAATATCGCGCTTTTGTTCTTTCCTCATTTGATAGCAACCAGATTACGGTATGTGATGGGAAATAATTCTTTATGAAGAGTCGTATGCTTGCCTCACAAGTGCACTGGATATGTGAGTGAACATTCTAACGCAACACATCCCTTGTCGGTCGATATGTACACAAGAAAAGCAATTATAGTCATACGTCACTCTCGACACAACCGTATCCAACGCCCAAACAATCTAGCAGTTTTGGGATTGCTCAGAACGCATCGAGCAAGCTGAAAAGATGTAATTTTCAGTTGGGGGAACGAGCATACTGATATAATGAAGAAATGTTACTTGACATTACAATCTGTTCCGATTCAGTGATAATGCGAATTAAATATGAATCGTCAGCAAACAGAATACAGATTCAAAAGTTATCACGACCTTAGAAATGTTCCGAATGCAAATGTCGGTACCAACCGTCGAAAACCTTTATCATAAAGTAACACGATTATCTATCCCATATCAGATATTATTCTCAGAATAGAACATTCAGTTTACTGTTGTACTGAATAATATTCCATTCCCTATTATATATCGTCAAGAAGGCTACAATCAGTTGACCGATTCAGTTTCGTTGATTCAGATTCTTCTGCCCTCCACCATGCATTTACTTGTTCGGCGATGGTTGGAAACACAAAAAGCGAATGGCTGAAGATTTGTATCGTCGTTATCGAGAGTGTCAAAAACGGAACGGTATTATGGACGTTGACCCAGATACTGAACTTGTGAACGAGGCACGTTCCACTGAATTATGCGCGTTCATCGGTATTGGTGCACCATCTGAACAAGAAAAACAAACGCTCGATTTTTCGAGCAATAAGGTACGCTTGTTAGCCGTAATCTCTTCTGATTCGTAACATTTGGAGATATGCTGATGTTAATATACCGTGAGGTTTTCCAGTTTGGATCACAAAAGCAGATTGTCTCGCATATTGCAGGATTATTGTGCAGCTAAAACTCTGTATATTTCGGATGCGGACAAACGAAAATATTTTGAACTCTCAGTGCAATTCTTTTACGGGTCTGGTCATGAAATTGGCCTGTTTTCATCACAAAGGATAAAAGTCATTAGTAAGCCGAGTAAGAAGAAACAAAGTATGAAGAATACCGATTGCAAGTATCTTTGTATAGCATCTGGTACTAAGGTTTGTGATTTGTTCGTTTATAAAACATAAAATTTCACGTTCAGCACTTCTTTAATCCAATACGGATATTGCTTTAACTTCTCACATCATATTACTTTGAAATTGCAAGGTGAAAGGTCGAGTGCATCTAAAACTTCTAAGTAATCTTCTATAAGATCATCTATGAATGCTCCAAAAAATTTCAGGTTGCTTTATTCAATAGACTTCGTTCTCAAACGGTTAGCACACGTTATCTACACGTTGAGAATGGCTGCTTTCATGCCAGCTCTACTAAGTGGGGTGCATTCACAATTCATCTCAGTAAGTTTCAGTGACTGCATCAAAATTTTACTCTTTTACGTTAATGCAGTATTCAATTGATTTGCTTTCCAAAATATTATATAACAGCAGAACAATCGCATTGTTTCAATTCAGCAAATTTTACTTGATAAAGTTGTGCTAAATTCCAGTCGAAGACGATCCCAGTGCGGGTGAATCTGAGAATTTCAACGTTAAAGACGGATTCATCTATTACGGTGCTCTTGTGAAACTAGTCGATAGTGTTTCTGGCATCGCTTTACCACGTCTCGTATGTTTTTCAAACCAAAAATTATCTTTCTTATTTTCTCAAGTTCAATTCCATTCCGTTGTTTTCCAAATTAGGTAGCACTAGTTTTGAAGATATCAAAGCAATTTTTTTCGTAAACTCTCCTCATATCATTGCTTCATTCATATATTGTTATTATACCAGTTTTGAAAAATCGAAAAATCGTTCCCTCTAAAGTTTATTTTTTTCCGTTTTGAAAAACCTGAAAAATACAAAGCTTAAAATGCCGCTTTATGCTATTCTAGAGGATTCGAAAAGTTGACAAACAACACGTGCTATTAGATGCATCTGCAAGTGAAGAGCCTGTCAGTCAACTTCACAAGTGTGCTTTTCAAATGTTAGATTGTGAAACGACGTATCTTTGCCTTTCACATGATAAAATTATTCAGCATCAGGTTAGTGCACTGCTTCCTAATCTTCCTTCTCGTCCGCGCCACCAAAAAAATTTTAAGATATCATATACCCTCTACAACAATAATTAAAATGTCGTCGCGCTCCTCACAGTATCCAATCTGTACCTTTCATCCACTATAATGAGTATCTATAGCAGGAGAGGAGAGGGGCTAATGGAGCACCTACGCTCGGGTGCTCCATTATCCCCTCTCCTCTCCCGCTACAATAATTTACTATATCCATGCATAACATCAGAACAAATTTCCCGACCCTTCCATTGCCCTCCTGACATCCCCAAATTACCAGAAATGGGTAATTCCCCTGGTAGATAACGTAGATAAGTGTACACCATTAAAGTACGTTCTAGCCTTTTTTGAAATACATACGTTGAAATCCACCCTCGCTTTGTTTAATGTATGAAAGGTGAAATACTACCTCGCACCCGCAAAGGGTACAAGCATCCCCGGTTGATAAACCCTCGGTTAGTAGTATAACCACTGATTATTAGTTGGTGTCCTAAATAATTGATTCATACTCTCTACAAAATGCAACCAGAAATCACATTATTGCGTTTGAAGTTGTTCAAAATTTCATCTTAACATTTGCATTTTATCCTCCCTTTTATCCTTCAACTGTTCGAAGCGAAAACGTCAACATTCAATCATTAAAGGCTGTACCCATTGATGCAATGCGACACCAGATTAGTGACGGTGCCTCGTGGACGATTATCTCAACTGATAAGGTTGGATTGCTTTCACTTTGTGGTTGTTTGTTATGGACGAATTGGTAACTTATGAGATGCAAACTAATGGTTTCGTGTTGCTTCTTCACATGAAGTACTTTCATAATGTTGCTCTCGGTTCATCTGTTCTTAATCTATAGGCCGAATATCGTTTCTACGAAGCAATGGGTCCAGTGCGACAGCCGATAACACCAGTGCCAATCGTGAATGGACTTGAGTTGTATGGTGAAGGTGATTTGGCACGTGTCGATTTGACGGGTTGTAACTTTAGAGCGAATCTGAAAATTTGGTTTGGTAGCACTCCTGTTGAGACAATATTCAGGTGCATACTTTATGCTAGTTGCTTTCACCTTAGTTACTTAGGTCACAATCCATAGGAAAGATCACCTGGTGATAAGGAGCGACTGCTTATTTCATTTTCTACCAGCAGCCGTGCAGTTTCGGTCTCGTTCAAAAATAGATGCCCACCATTGCTCTTCTATGTTTGTTCTGACACTTGTTCGTTTCACCTTTCCGAGACGGTCATTTTCTTCTTTAATATATAAGATTTCGAGTGCTTTTTCGATGAGATCGTTCTTGTTTGACAACGTATTGATGCGCCGTTTAAATGGTAATAATTAAAGTTCAGATCAGAAGAAATGATTGGTTGTTTGGTACCGCCACTTTCGACAGTGTGTCCAAACTGGAATGGCGCATACAGTGATGAACCTGCGTCGGTGCCTTTATCTTTAGTTCGCGACGACGGCGTTGTCTATTCCACAAATATGACGTTCAGCTATAAAACAGAAACTTCGGCACGTGCCCTTGCAAACAGGCGATATGCAGACTCAATCCGAAGTTGAAACAAATTCATCATATCAGCAGCAGCAGCAATCATTTACATTCGTCCAGTTTTGATGTTGAATATTGTTCAATACTTGCGTTTTAGTTCACTGTGAACAGAAATCATTGCATATTGTCAGAACGAATGATTATTTTCGCGGACAGTTGCTCCTTTTGTCGAAAATATTTACTTGTTTCTCGTCAGATCTCGTTCTACTCATTGTTATTTATCACCGTTTCATTCTTTTTGAATTCAGTTACTTACGTTTTTCATTCATCTGTGTTTCCATCTACGTCTCTTTTTGTTTGTTTCATTTAACATTGAAATTGTTCGAACAAATTTTAGCAATGTACTCCCGGAAAGTATNTGAGTCCATTCTGCTTTAAGATCTGTCTCCTCAGGTGTTTTTTCTTGAGTTTTTGATATTTTATTTCTCATAAAATTGTCTCAAGGTTACCGTTCTGTAAGGTGGTAAGTTTAATCATAAGAACTGTTTTTTGTTCATTGATAAAATTCTACAGTGATTCTGCTTGCACCTTCCCATGTTCTGTTTCTGTTGCAAAATTGAGCAGCGTTTCTTTCGAAACAAAAAACTTCTATAGAAAAAATGTATCGCAGTTATACAATGTATTGTTGCGTTATTTTGAATTTCTCTTATTTGGTTGCATTCAGTGGCGTAGCCAAGACTTTTCCAGTGGAGGGGGTGCAAAATAGTCTGGTCTGGGAGAGAGAGAGAGAGTAACGCGCGTCTCCTACGACGTTGGCTGTGCCACTGGTCGAATTTATTGCAATATTTGTTCATGCTGACAATGAGATATTGTATGTCTTTTTTTCTAAACTTTATTTTCTACATTTGTATTTATGGTTATGCTATTGTGAACGGCAATTGTTATGTGGTCATGCTCTATTTGTATTTCAGTTTAACAATTTCGTCAGTGCACTCAAATCTGACTGAAAAGAAATTAACGATAAGTTAAACAAAAGTGGCATGCCTGGTTGTTCTTGTTTTCAATCAGTCTTATTGTATTATATTTTCGTCAAATTCAGTCCCATTCCCAATATTTTGCGTTTTACATCCTCCCGGGATATTCTGATTGTGACTGTTTGCAAGAAACGTTATCCCAGTTCAATTGTAATGGATGGCAGAGAATGGGTAGGAAATCAGTTACTTTCATAGTCAACTGATTCCAGAATTAATTATTTAAGTGTATTGTTGTGCTATCATTTGTATTTGTTTACATTTTACTGTTCTCGTTCAGTTTCATTTCGCTTGTGTGCTGTGTGTATATTTATGAAAATGTGCTTCTCGGTGTTGTTCTGTTTATACTTTCATATTTTTTGATCAGTTTCTATATTTTTAATTTTACGGTTTTATTTCATTAAAATTTCATTCATTTCGTTCTCACAAATTCGTGAATTCACCAAACTCGATACACAATGAATTTCAAAATTCCAATCAAATTTGCTGCAAAATCTAATAAACAAATCCTTCATCATATCGATCTTTCGCCATACACGACACGTCTATAGCCACCAAACCTTCCACTTTTTACAAACCCAAATAACAAATATCGTGCACCCGCTTTTTGAATTCATGATTGTTTTTCACTCTGTAATGTTCGCTTATGAAATCTTGGAAAACGTCTGAAAACAGCAACATACGCAACAATCAATATCTCATAAATAACTATGAAAAACAATTTTCAATAGAGAATCCCAAAGCACAATGACAATATGATACACATTTGTCACAAACCAGATACCTATGAACAATTGAGCAGTTACTTCGTTTAAAAAAAATTCATTTAAGAACCAAAAATCCGATTATGTACAGTAATTAACGAACTTGAGGAAACTTTTTAGTAAAACTGAAAAATCATAATGGATGAATTCAAAACTAATCGCTTGTTTCCCACGCAGCCAAAGTGATCTTTTCTGCTTCACCAAAAAACTTAATCAATTCCTACTGATCATGAGGAACGATGTCAGCCAATATATCAAAGAACTTGCGAAATACTCGTAAATACTTCAGACTGATTTTTGTTTAGGTCCAGAAGAGCCAAAGAGACTTGTCAGGAAATTGGACAACGAAGAGCTTGCCATGAGCGAACCGCCCAGGTGAAAAAAACATCATGAGGTAATCTTGCATTTAAGGTTAGTAAA